ATATACTGGATAATAAAAAGGCTGTAAAAGTTAATAAGTTATCAACAAAACGACAATTTCAGAAAAAAGCTTTGTCTTTCTTTTTTTTGTTCGAACTAAATGCATAAATTTAAATGTGTATTTTTTTTCTTTTGATAAAAAAACTAAGAGAAATGTTTTTCATCAAGCAGATGATTTAAATTACTGAAAAAAGTGCAGCATTTTAATTCTACTTGTTCTCTTAAGTACAGTGTGCAAAAAAAAAAAAAATGGACCACCTTGAATAATTCCGCTCTATTGATCAGATCTTCAGGTTCTGGGACTCACTCTTAATGGTCAAAGGGGATGACCCCAAATATGCTAATTAATTAGTGTAGACAATATTTTGAGTTAAGAAATCAGACACAAAAACGTACTTTCTGTGAATAAACACGTCTTTTTGTTAGACGAATTCGGATTTCTGATCTCCAAATTATGATCCCAATAGTTTAGTCACGAGAACGAGCCCAAAGTTTGGACCCCTTAATGTTAATTTTGCTTTTTGCGTATTTCGCCATATCTAGAGAACTTTTTAAGAGAATTGAAAATTTTTTGTCTACAATCATTAAATTTATTCATCCAAAGAGAATTCCATACAAAAAATAGCTTTTAGTAATATTTATTATTTTGTTTAATAATAGTAAAAAAATATTTTGAATCATAAGGTATGCAATTTTATACATCATACTTAATTTTACACGGAAAAATACAAAGTTTCAGAGAAAAATCTGTCGAATAGTTCCTGAGAAATCGCACTTTTAAAAAAATCGTATATTTGAAATTTGATTTCTCAATAAATACTCGCCCGGTTTCACCCAAATTTTGTATGTTGCCTTGTAAAATTCCATTTTAAAATGCTGTGAAGTATTGTATACCTTACAGTTCAAAAAATGTTCGACTATTATTAAATAAAATATTAATAAGTAATAAATACATTAAAGGTTGTTTTTTGTGGGGAATTATCTTTGGATAAACGAATTTTATAATTGCATGCAGAAACTTTTCAATTTGCTTAAGAAGTTCTCGAGATATGGCGAAATATGCAAAAAATCTATTTAAGATTGAGGGGTCCAAACTTTGGGTCATTCTTATGACCAAACAAGGGGACTATATTTCCAAGATTGCGTCAGAAATTCGAATCCGTCGAAAAAAACGGTATGTTTATTCAGAGAAAGTACGTTTTTGTGTCTGATTTCGTAACTTAAAACATCGTCTACAATACGTAATTAGCTTAATGGTTTGAGGGGCAGCTCCCCCCTTAAACCATTAAAATTTAATCCTAGAACGTGAAGATCCGATCATTAGATCAAAATTTATTCAAAGGGGTCCGTTTATTTATTTATTTATTTTTTGCTCTCTGTTCCTATTGATTTACAGTTTTAATTTAAAAATTACAATCGTTGTTATTTGAATTCTGATTTTCTTTATATGCTTTACGTGATACTTGATATGCCGCTGTATTCCAATCTGATTGATTTTTTGAAAGACATTTGGTTTTTCATAAAAAATATTAAATCATGCCTTTAATATCAATGTAGAATTAGGCAAGTATAACTTTTTTGGCTCTTCCGTCAGAAACTTTCAACTGACTAAACTCTACTTTTATCACTAAACTGCAATAACTTCTTAGATGGTTCTCAATTAACAAAGCTATTACACGTACGCAAAAGCATGTGAAAATTCTAAATTTTCAAATAAGTAAATTTCAACAAAGGTATGCCCCCTGTCTGTTACAGTTCAAAAATTATCAGCTGTGACATGATTATTTACCATATCCAAGATTTTATCAAAATTGAAAAAGAGTGAAAGAATGATACGGCAGATAAATATGTCCATTCGAAAGAATATTAGATCCTAAATTTTGATTTACCTCAAAATTTCTGATTTTTATCATTTATCCAAATTAAAACATCTTCGATACTCATGTTTTATGCATGCACATTCCACGAGGATAAACTGCAAAGATAATGAATGTATCACCTAGGCAATCAAGTTTCTAAATACCTTTTCAGCAGAAAATCCATCGGTTTCAATCTTCTGCTTCATTGCACTGGATGCAGACTTTTCCTCGTAGCTGACACTCCCAGATTGCAACCTCTTCCTTTCTTGGTTAGTTGCGGCCATTTTCTCGGCCGTGTAGCCATCCGAGGTGCTCACTTTCATCTTGGATGAAGAACTCATCCTCTTTTGTTCGAATTTCATCTCCTGCGGGGAAGATTCTCTTAGGACCAACTCTTCTTCCGAGATGGGATCATCCGCAGAAAGCTTCCTCTGTCCTAAACCTCCAGATAGGCTAGAAGAATTGGTCACCATTTTTAAGCGGGAGTCAGAACTAGCGCTGGAATTGCTGGTGACACTCACACTACGACAGAAGTTTCGGTTTTCCTACATAAAATTATAGAAAGAAACATTTGCTTTATTTGTTTCGGTTTTCCTTCATAAAATTATATAAAGAAACATTTGTTTTATTTGTTTCGGTTTTCCTACATAAAATTATATAAAGAAACATTTGCTTCATTTGTTTCGGTTTTCCTACATAAAATTATATTTAAAAAAAACAGCTGCTTTATTTGTTTCGGTTTTCCTACATAAAATTATATAAAGAAACATTTGCCTCATTTGTTTCGGTTTTCCTTCATAAAATTATATAAAGAAGCAGATGCTTTATTTGTTTCGGTTTTCCTACATAAAATTATATAAAGAAACAATTGCTTCATTGCATAGTAGAATAAAAAGAAAATTAAAAAAAAAAAACAATATAATAATTTAACACAATTCTTTGCATATATATCACAATTTAGAGCATATTTTATTTAAACAATTGCATATTGAATTTGAACAAATATGCCATACATTGCATTTGAGCATATATGATTAGAATATTATGGTGCGGTTTTTTATCTTAATTGCTCAAAATTGCCATCCAGATCAGTTTAAGATCAGGATTAAAATTGCATAGGAACCCATGCGTAGAAGTGCCGTCTTTTGCGGTGAGGGACTTTCCCTATTATGACCTGCTCAAAAGCACATAAAAAGACAGTTCATAATAAGGAGCTCCCTTAGCAGCGTATAACGACGTTTCCGTGCGTGGGTTCCTATGCAATTTTAATCCTGCTTTAACAGAATGATATGCCTTAAAAGGACGCCATACCACGGCAGAAACTTTTCGTCACAAAATCTCTTTTACCTCTACTACTGAATTAAAATTTAAGAGAAAGTAAAAAATGAATTCAGGCAAACCTAGGGTAAGCCATGAAATTTCAATTGGTCAAAACTTTTTTCAAAATATAAAAATGCAAGCAAATTATTGTAAGATAACTTCTCCATTGCGTCATACTATTCTCATAATTTATCTTCATTTTGATAATTTCAGTATTTGAAACTTCACGGCTTACACTAGGTTTGTCTGAACTCACTTTTTCTATACTTTGAAGTTTAAATTAGTTATGGAGGTGAAGGAGAATTTACGAAGAAAAGTTTCTCCCTTGGTAATGGTATCCTTTTAACTCTCTTAGAAGTTTATCGCGAGATATACGCCACCTCCTGTTACACATAGCGTCTTTAAACTCGTACATTTCGGCCAAAAATGGACTAAACGCGATATTTAAAAAAACTGTAGCTTGAAGAGAGAAACGTAGCTGAAACCTAGTGCAGATTTGAAAATATCCTAGATCGTTAAAGAATCCAATGCAACAGGGAAAAAAAGTTCCCAGTAATATTAGTAATTTTTTCTATACTTTAAATTTTAAATTACTGAAGTAGTTGAAAAAGAATATACCATGAAGGGTAATACTACCCTTAATGATAATAAATAACTCTCACTTGAAACAATTCGTTCTGTTGTTGGGCTTGCTGCTGCTGTTTCAACTCTTGGGTAGACATTGCATGATGGAGTATTTGAGCTTTCTTACTCAGGACGGAACTGCTGCTAGTGGATGAAGAGCTGCTCTTAAGCATCTTTTCAGATGAGGATGCGTATGTGGAGTTATTGATCTTGTTGATAATGGTGGCCGCAGATGCCTTTTTGTTGAAGTCCACAAGGGATCCCAGCTCGCCATTTGTGGACATCATCTTGGTCGAGTCACCTGCTTCGGCTGAAGCCGTCTCACAACCCTATAAGTAAAAAAAAAAATATTTTCAGTATTATATTTGAATTTTCTTAGGACTAAAAATATATATTATTAAAATCAGAGACACGGCGACTCATATCAGAAAGCGTTAGCTGCCCAATGAAATCACGCAGGTTCGAATCTCAGAGGTGGTTGGTTGATACGAATTCTGGTCCCAGGTCACACCGATCACAGTGCGTAAGATGTCCTGAGTTGTAGACGGATCATGTGTTGGAATACCTACGCCATCGGACTAACGGTTTTCGCGGTTTTCCACTTCATGTAACATAAATTTGGGTTAGTTCTATTAAAAATTCTTTTCCGAAAGCAAGTTTGTCCCAATACTTGATCCAGGAGTTCCTTTGCTTTCTGGGTTGGGTTCAAAATTAAACGGCTTCTGGCAGAACATTGATAGTTGTAAATTCAGAGTTGGGTCAGTAATAAATTGGGTGCAGTAGTAAAATAAAATAGTAAAATCACTACTTAAAAAATATTAAAAACTTATTGACGCAATTTGGGGTTTTCTACATTTGGCCCACATATGCACACGAAAATTATTTTAAAAAATAAATTAATAAACTTCCAATATTTTACTTATGTAGATTGAATTCCATATTCTTGGGAGCGCTAAATCATATTTTATAAAAGCAGCTCATATTTTGACTTAAAACATGTGAAATATTCTAAAAACAATTTACAAGTACAAAATTTGAAAGTTTTATCACCAAAGTTTGGTTGCTTTTTAAGTTCAGAGTATATAAATTAATTTTTGTTATTTTACAGTAACACGGCATCAGTAAGGTATTTTTATAGCCCTCTAAATTTATATTATCTTATAATTCAGTAATATGCACGCAGTTACATTTTTTTTCAAGCAAAACGATCACCTCTAAAATATATTTCGGCAGTACAAATACTTATTAGATATTAGCGATCATTTTTACTAGTATATTATTATTTATTTTTGTGCGAAAAAAAGAAGAAGAAAAAATTTCGATACTGTAAAACCTGTTAAGTTGACCACCTTTGTAAGTTGATCATCTAAATTGTAGTAACGGAATAATACCGAACAGGTAAAACAAATAATTTCACCCATTATAAATTGACTACTTGTCTAAATAAACCATCGATCCCATTATCGATCAAAATATATAGTTTTTATTGTATTTATAAAAGTATAAACAACTTGCAAATTAAAAAGAATTAAATTCAATAGATGTTAAACATTTTGCACCTGAATTATTTTTTTACCACTTTCATCATCGATCCCATTATCGATCAAAATGCACAGTTTTCATTGTATTTAAAAAAATATATATATATAAACAGCTTGCAAATTAAAAAGAATCATATTTGAAGGATGTTTAGCATTTTGCACCTGAACTATTTTTCATTAACATTTATTCACCGGTAGTTCAAAACGTAACATTTGATCAAATATGTAAAATCTGATCATTAATTTATACTTTTATACGAAATATAACGCAACTGTTATTTCTCAGCTTTGCTTGTACCTATAAATACAGTATTTGATGAATAAACTAAAACCAATTAAAATATTTTAAATTTTTTTTTTTTCGTTTTACTGAAAGCATTTAACAGTTTATACCCCTACATAATCAAGAATTTATTCTCTGCTTCGGACTCGTTTAATATAAATTATTTTAAACAGGTCTGTTTACTGATCTCTGATACAGGTAAAAATATTTAACAGTGCTTTATTTTCTTTTTCAACTGTAAGACAAATGAATGACAGCAAACTTGAATTTAATATTAATTTTATTATCGTATGATTTTATTATAATTTTATTATTTGAGTTAATAATAATTGAAGCTGTCACTGTTAAAAGGGGGTATGTTACAAATCTGTATTTTCGGAAAAAACCAAAAATACTGTGTCAATTGTGGAAAAATTGTTTTAATTGCTTCCAAATTGATGGATTATCTTCTTTAGGCAGTCAATTGTTTTAAAAAGGTATATTTACCAGAATAATTCATCCCACTTAGAAATATTTCATAACCTCGAATATTTTACGAATTTATTTATGAGACATTATCTCTATAATAATTAATTAAATCAAGTAAAAAAATTAATGAAAAAATAGGATGAATTAAGCACATCTATTTACAAATAGTGACAATTGTTGAAGAAAATTGTGGCTTGATCTAATATTTTTAAGAATACATGAGTCATTAATATTTTTATCTTGTGATAATCGGTATTCTAAATATCAAAAGAAGCATTAAAATATCGGTAAATGAATTTACTTACCCATTTTACCAATTATAGTAGAAAATTAAGATTTTCTAATATATTTAGGAAGACATGTAACATTAAGCTTTTATCTTAAGTAATCTAGGACAGCCTAAAAAAAGCACTAAAATATAGCGAGGGGATCTACCTATACATTTAACCAAATATGGAAGAAAATTAAGATCTGATATGTTCTAATATTTTTAGAAATACGTGTGCTATAATACCTTATATAGTAAAAATCAATAATCTTTAGCCCCTAAAAGCACTAATATATAGTAAAAACTTTTATTTATACAATTTTTATAAAAAACAACAGATAATTAAGATATTAAACTGTTATCCTAAGTAATTTTAAGTTTCAAAAAGAAGTGCCAAAATATAATAAATTTAAATAATTGAAGAAACTGAGATCTGTTAACTGTCAACCAACAATATAGGAGACAATTAAGATCTGATATTTTAATATTTCTAAGAATATATAGGCCATTAAACTTTTATCCTGAGTAATCTTAAGTTTAAAAAAGAAGTGCTAAAATATAGTAAATGCGTTTACTTTTAGATTAAAATATAGGAGACAATTAGGATCTTATAATTTAGTATTTATTAGAATATATGGGCCATTAAACTTTTAGCATGAGTAATCTTAGGTTTCAAAAAAGGAGCACTAAAATATAATAAATGGGTCTACTTACAAATTTTAACAATAACAGAAGAAACTGAGATCTGATTGCTAACTGTAAAGCAACTCTCCAGAATTATAAATCATTTTAGTGCTACACGCAATTAATAGCGAAGATGAGAAGGAGGGGAAAAAAAGATTGTTTGAATTTATCACGGCACCTGTTGCTCCCGAATATGACAGAAAAGTGATGACTTCACAGACTACACTCATCAACAATCGTGATTCTATAGAGTAAAAACGGATTCGAAACCTCATCCACGATGTAAAAGTGACTACAATATGACTCAACACTTGAACGTGATTATCTATTTATACGAACGCTAAACACGTCACTTCCGTCTGTTGAACTCATTCATGGTGAGGATCGGGGGTTACGAGAAAGAAAAAAAGAAAGAAAACGAGATAACTGACAGCTGTCCGGATAAAAAGGTACATCCTAGTTTATATTTATGAAAAAGAAAGCCAGAATTGTTCAATTTAGTGTTTAATTTTGAATAAAAAAATTTCATAAAAAAATCATAAATAAATAATAAATTCCTGACATGTAAAACAATACTTTTAAACACAAACGAAATAGTTTAATGATCAGTAACTGAGCCAAACCCATAAGGGGCCCACCTTCAACATTAAAATTGTATAATAAAGCTATAGGTGAAATAAATATAGGTATAGTAATAATGATACCTATATGAGCCGTGGGCGCTCAGGGAATAGAGCACTCGCCTCCTAACGGGTTGATCCGGGCTCGAATTCCAGCTTTGGCTGGTCGATACGAATTCCGCACCCGGTCTGCACCGACCACAGTGCTGACGTAAAATATCCTCAGTGGTAAATGAATCATAGATTAGAATCTTCCTTGCGTCGGGCTAACTGTGGGAGGTTTTCGTATTTTCCCTCTCCGTGTAACGCAAATGTGGGTTAGTTCCATCAAAAAGTTCTTCTCAAAGGCTAGCTTTTCCCAATACTTGATCCAGGGGCTCTCTTGTCTTCTGGGTTGGGTTCAAAACATACAAGCTACGGGGTTGAACGTAGGTAGCTGTAGACTCAGAATCGGATCAGCTGTTCCACGCCGGTAATAAAATTAAATAAAATGATACCTACGTATATGCATTTTAAAGGTAAGAGAGTGTACTCATGAAATATGGGCATAATTATTGTTACGCTCAAAGATTTTCTCAAATTTTTAAAACTTTAGAATGTCTATATGTATGATCAATCCTTCTCTGCTGTACCGTGATAATACAAGTTCATTAAAAATTATATTTATAAATTTAAAAAATGATGTAATAGGTTTTAAAAAGAATCTGAGTACATTATATGTTAAGTGCTTGTTTTTAAAACTGTTTCACCAACAGTTTTTTTTCTTTTTAAGTTTTTTTTATTATGGTAATTCGGTTTCAAATGAACATAAATAAAAAGAATACTAATAATTTACTTTTATTTCTATCGAATATTACTTTATGTTAAACAGAAAAGACATAGACTTTAATAGAAGGCTAATTTTAGTTGCAAATGCAAATATATCAAATAAAACTGATGCGATTTTTACAAGTTGGTGATAAAAGTGTTCGCCTTAGTAAATGAATTCAATCGAACATAAAGTAAATGGCACAAGGGTTAAAAGCTGTTATATTCAAACCACATTAAGTATTCGCTCTAAAAATAAAATGGAGCTATAAAGTTAATAACAGGAAGAAAGAAAAATATGCAAAAATAGAATTAAAAAAATTAGAGGTAACGGAGATCAAAAAAAATTCCAGGGGAGCAGGGAGACTTATATTTTTTCAAAAAACAGTAAATATCATGAAAAGGCATAGGCGGATAGTACTGTAGAATATACACTGTAAAATTTTTTAGTGTATAGTTGCCACCATTTTTGATGTTTGAAGTAAGCTAAATTTTTTTTACAGTGCATGTAGCTACATTATTATATAATTTTTACTGTTATTGTTTTGTTTATTTATTTATTCATTTTTGCTTCTTTTTTTTACTAACAACATATACTTTCATGCTCATTCGAAACAATTTAATAGCGATAGAAAAATCGTTTCGCTTAAAAAAAGAA